TTTCATCTCTTTCTGTGCTTTGCCGTAGACTGCTGCGTTCTTCCTCGCCACCCCCCCAGGGACATGTTCATCTTCTGTTTGCAACACCACTACTCCCCTTATTGTATATCATCGATGACATCCACGACATCGTCACTTGTTCGGGGATCAGCAGCCTGTTTCTTTGTCTGGTTCAATTCTCTCTGTGCCTGCTCCACACTGGTTCCTTTGTTCCAAACGGCAATATTCACTCCTATTCCTCCGGCAGACATTCCAGCTGCCTGCAAGCAGCCACAGCACCATGTCTTATGCCCTTCAGTGTTAAATGTTCCAGCTGTACAACAGGATGTGGTCCCTGCCCGGAGTACACTCCCGATTCCCGGGATAGTTCCTGCTCAGGATGCGGCCCCAAACGTTGAGGGATTGGAACAGGATCTGCCCGGATTGCAGTCAGACCATATGGGGGATCTGCAAATGGCTGACCAGCATCATTTAGATGAACCACAAATTTGCCCGTCCACGCGCAGACCACAGGGGTGTTCTGCAAGTGACTGACCAGCAAACAACCCAATACATTTTGGGCTTGCAACACCAGCTGGGTGATCTGCGAATCGTTGGCCAGCATCCGGCACACCAGCCTGAGTTCCTCACCAATCTCTGTGGTCTGACTGCAACTAGTATATGTCTTCACATTCTCCACCGCCTGTTTTATACACCATCAGAATTCCTTGCTATCGCCCTTCAGCTTGATGCTGATCTCCCCGACGTACCACCAGAGGATTGTAATTATAGCAGGGAAAGAGGCTTTACCATTGCTGTCCTACAAGTAGCAATGAGGAACGGCCAACTTGAACTACACAATGTTGGAGCAGGTGAGTGGTTTAATCCTCCCTCCCACATCTCTGCCTGCATTGTGCAGGACCTGGCCATTACATGGCCATCGTACATGCTTCTGACCACTGGGAGCTATGGGACAATGGCATCATGGTCCATGCCATGACTGATGTTACTTATTTCTAACATAATGATGCTTTTTTCCTGCCTCGCCAAACTGTTCGCAATCTTTTTTATGTCAAGGATCATAATTCCTCTGGCCCCATGCTCCAGAAGGACAATGTACCAACACTTTGCGACCTTCTCCTTTGCATAGCTACAGACACTGTTACACTTAGCTGTACCCGTCATCGTCTCTTTCACAATCACTACAATAAGATGGTTTTTGCATCCATGTGTGTAGAGGACTTTCCCTACATTCTTGACTGCAGCCACCCTCCGCATTTGGACACTCATGGGCGCTATGAATGCGTGGTCTTTTGTGGTGAGCGTTCTTCCTTCATTTTGGTCTGCAATCCGGAGGTCTTCCCATAATGTTTATTTTGTTTTTGGAACTTTGAAAGAAAGAATTATCTCAACTGTAATTCGTCTTCTTTTTGTGGCCATGCTCCTCGCACGGTTGATTTTACAACTATGTATAAAGAACTATCTCAACTGTAATTCATCTTCTCTTTGTGGCCATGCTCCTCGCACGGTTGATTTTACAACTATGTATACCAATCTCCCTCATGACCGTATCTTCTCTTCCTGGCGATGTTCCTCGCACTGTTGATTTCATACCAATCTCCCTCATGATCATATTTATCATAATGTATCAAAAGCGGTTGAGGAAGCCTATACATATGCCTTGCAACAGCACACACGGAGGCGCACACATCCTCCTGCCCTTAACATGATTGTTAAAAGGGCCCATCAAGGGGAGTGGACGGTTCATACGGGACCAAATACCTTGACCGTTTCCCAAATTATAGAACATCTCCATTTCATTGTCACAAACACGTATCTTTATGCAGCGGATGGCACCTTGCGACATCAGCTGATTGGCATCCGGATGGGGACTAATTCTGGTCCGGAGATGGTTAATTTGACGTTGTATTATTGGGATGAGGCTCGCTTTGTTGATGACCTGCAGCAGCGTGATCTTCGCGCAGCTCAATGGTATGCGTTCACTTACTGCTTGATCGATGATGTTCTCTCATGGGGACATCTGCCACCACTGTCTAATAAACCGTCTAATTTACCAGAAGAGGGGGATGTTCTCTCATGTTTTTTTGTTCTTTACTCCATTCTAATTGGTTCCCTCCGGCTTTTTTTTTTTTTTTTTTTTTTTTTTTTTCCCTTTGTTTCTTCTCTTTTTAGCAGCGTTTCAACTGTGCGAATCTCTATTCATTCTGGTACCTTGTTACCCACGTTAAAAATCATGAGTTGCACACAACAACTTATAAACGAGACAGGCGTCGAACCGGCGCATTTGGCTAGTACGCATTACACGTGGCCACGTTTGAGGAAAGTATAAATCTTACTTTTCACGCTTCACTCCTACAGGAGAAATGTGGGAAAAAAAACGGGCGGGATTGTCACGCATCATGTCCCTTCACACACATGGTCAGTGGTTTTATTCGATTTTTTTCCTTTCTTCTGACTTTTTCTTCTCTTTCCTCCTGTTGTCTGGTTTCGAGGGACTAGACGCACTTTTTCAATTTTTTCTAGAAACACAGGCTTAACAATTGGCACCAACGCATGAGGCACTTGACCACAAAGCTCGGGGAATGACGAATAACCACTCGTATTTAGGACAATGGACACACCCGAATCTCCCATCTTGTTTTCAACGCCTGTGCTTTGATCAAGGCTAGTGCCTTGACCATTTCAGCGTGCAGAGGCTCACGGTTGGTACGCTCGAGCGAAGTCGTAACATCGACGGCATTTCCCATGATCTTCTGCCAGAGGACTTCATCGAAGACCATGGACTACGTTGTCGATCCAGCTATGGTGGATTAGGTGATCGGCGACGCTGGAGACGTGGTATAGAATTTCGACTTGCTCGCCCCGTTGCCATACTCAGACCATCGCAAAACATGCTCTCCTCCCCCCCTCACGCCTATTTGAATTAGTTTGCTCTGTCGCACTTCATCCTCACTTCTTGCTGATACGCCATCGCCAGTCATGCCCTCCTCCTCCATGCGCGCTTCGCTGCACTACTCTAATCCGCCGGACACATGGGTATGATGACCGTCTTCTTCATTCCCTGCAACCTGCTTCGCTGGGCGCTTGGCAAATCCCTTGCAATCCTAGCCATCGCTCTGCAGAAGGAAGAGATGACA